TAAAACAACCCCATCTATGGATAAACCGAAGTGCCAATATGTAACACATCTAAACTTGGATAAAACAACCCCATCTATGGATAAACCGAAGTGCCAATATGTAACACATCTAAACTTGGATAAAACAACCTCATCTATGGATAAACCGAAGTGCCAATATGTAACACATCTAAACTTGGATAAAACAACCCCAATTCGCACTTTTTCTGGATAATGCTGGTTAAGAGTAGTTATCAATGATACAAACACCTTTTCAAGCTTTCATTATATAAATATAGATTACATTTGTTCAGCTCAGAGATAAAACAAAAATCTTGTTTTTGTTCTCCCCTTTCAGTTCTGACGTGTTTTTGCAGCGAAGTGGTAGACAGCTTCAATAACCTGTGACAAAGTCACACTAGTGGTGACTTTGTATTCGTAAGTCACAATGAAACACTAGTTTTTCTATTATTACGTCACAATGAAACACTAGTCTTCCTATTATTACGTCACAATGAAATACTAGTATTCTTCTTATTACGTCACAATGAAACACTGGTCTTCCTATTATTACGTCACAATGAAATGCTAGTCTTCCTATTATTACGTCCCAATGAAATACTAGTCTTCCTATTATTACGTCACAATGAAACACTGGTCTTCCTATTATTACATCACAATGAAATGCTAGTCTTCCTATTATTACGTCCCAATGAAATACTAGTCTTCCTATTATTACGTCACAATGAAACACTGGTCTTCCTATTATTACGTCACAATGAAATGCTAGTTTTCCTATTATTACGTCACAATGAAATTCTAGTCTTCCTATTATTACGTCACAATGAAATACTAGTCTTCCTATTATTACGTCACAATGAAACACTGGTCTTCCTATTATTACGTCACAATGAAATGCTAGTTTTCCCATTATTACGTCACAATGAAACACTGGTCTTCCTATTATTACGTCACAATGAAATGCTAGTCTTCCTATTATTACGTCCCAATGAAATACTAGTCTTCCTATTATTACGTCACAATGAAACACTGGTCTTCCTATTATTACGTCACAATGAAATACTAGTCTTCCTATTATTACGTCACAATGAAACACTAGTCTTCCTATTAACAGTTTGTCATCCTTTCATTGTTTTTAATTGTTGTGCTCATTTGTTGTAATCATTGTTATAGCTTTTACCAAGTGGCTTAGCAGTAAGCTCGAAGGCTTATACAACAAAAATTGGAGTTCGACACAGCTCAGATGGCCAATTATGTAGCTTCTCGCTTGAACAACAGCACTTTGTTGTAGTTGGTGTAATATATCTTCTTCTTTATGCCTACAACTAAACTTTATTGTTATATCCATAGAATGAAGTTAAACAATATTTTACTCAGTGTGTACTTTACTAAGAATAATAACAACTCGTCAATGCTATTTGTTACTGACATAAAATCGGAAGAAGATCATATTCCTGGCAATACAAAACAAATATATATTATATTACACAAGTACTTGAGAATGATTGTATCAATGATCGAAACGTTGTACCTGTTCTAAAAACAAATCTAACCTACTGTAAAATCTGTAAACGAAACTAATAAAACAAATATGATATAAAGTACAAAACTACAGAACGCAGGAATCGAACTCTCCAAGCATACAGCTAAATCGCCGGAGGGGGGGGGGGACGCTAGAAAACAAGAATATATATTATTCTTATAAAAAAAAACATTTTTTGTGTCAGATACTTAGGGCTACATGCTCCGAATAATAATAATAATAATACATAACAATCAATAGTTGAGTTGTTAACTCAAAACGTACCAGCTAATTGAGAGATAAACATCATAGAATAGATTAAATATTAAGTGCACTCAAGATGTTGTGATCAAACTCAACTAATGATAAAACCAAGAAAATTAACATAATAATAATAATAGTAATAATTTCCTTGTTAATAAAAATCTTTAAAAAAAAACGGAATTATACAAGACTAATAAAAATATTATATGAATGAGTTGTATGCAAATATTTATCATCACATAAAGCAATTATTCATGGTGTTCATTTATTTAATAAACATTTTAAATATTGCATAGCACGGAATAAATTGAGTTTATGTTTACGTGTAAACATATCGGAATATCTTAATTAAATCGAGTTTAACTGCTTTAAAACGCTCCCTAGTGGCACAGCGGTATGTCTGCGAACTTACAACGCTAGAAACCGGGTTTCGATACCCGTGGTGGGCAGAGCACAGATAGCCCACAGTGTAGCTATGTGCTTCATTACAAACAAACCAAGTGCTTTTAAACCTCCCGCTTATTCCCGTTCCTTACATCTATTAATATACCTAGCTAAGTCAATCTTAGTCTAAATCTTTGAACAAGTCTTACTATTACTTGTATTTAATAATCTATTCAATGAGGTTAATCTTAATTTAAGTCTTTAAACAAATCCCATTTCTTGTTTGATCCTTGTTAAACGCAACGCTACAAAAATGTCTGTCTGTGCTTTGCCCACTGCAGTTATCGTAATCTAATTTTTATCGTTATAAGCCCACATATTTACCATTGAGCGAAAAACGATACAATATTAGATGTAGGACTTTTAAGGCTAAAATAAATTTGACTTTTATTGCCAAAATGTCTATAGACGAGCACATGACTAACTCTAGCATCACGCATCTTTTAATACTATTAATCTGTACTTACCAGGCTTAAAACTAAAGTAATGACTAGCTTTAGCATTAGGCATCTTTTAACACCATTAATCTGAATTAAACAAGTTTAAAACTAAAGTAATGACTAACTTTAGCATCAAGTATCTTTTAACACCATTAATATGTATTTAACTAGGCTTAAAACTAAAGTAATGACTAACTTTAGCATCAAGCATCTTTTAACACCATTAATATGTATTTAACAGGCTTAAAACTAAAGTAATGACTAACTTTAGCATCAAGCATCTTTTAACACCATTAATATGTATTTAACTAGCTATAGGTTAAAGCAGTATATGTTTTTAAAACGTATACTACTAATAATGTTACAACATTCATATTCAGTACAACTTACAGTATTTCAAGAAGTTTGTTATAATTATTTTTATTTTAGTAACCCTATCCCCACTTTTTCAAAGCAATACTTTTCGTATGAATAAAATAAAGTTATGACACAATTGATGAATTTAGTAACAATATTGAAATTTTGTTAATTCCACAGCAGTGAAGAAAGTTAAATGTAACACATCATGACAAATTTTATTTTATTTAGACAAAAACGTAAAATAAAATAAATTCTCTTTTTAATCTAAAATTCAGATATTATTATTTTTTTGATTAATTGAATTTAATGTGTCTAAAAATTCCAATTTAGTATAAGTTATATTTTTAGGCTAAATTTGATTATAACTAATTTAGAGTGTTTTATATGTTTTCTACATTGTACAGTGAAGTGATTAAATTAAACAGACTTTATAATAATATGTATGTAAAATACATATTCCGCTTGTCAATACGAGCGTACGCTTCCTTTTGTCATGTATCCATGTAACTATTTCTGTCACTTAAACGTTTTAAGATAAAATTTTTGGCAAGACTTTAATTGAAACCTTTTCTCAGTTCCCCCCAGAGAAACTATTATATTGGATAAATACGGCCAAAGGTTGAAAGATTTAATAGGCCCCTACAATGAAGACGCTTCGTTGTTACTGATCTGCGAAGCAGATGGGGGTAAGTTTTCTGAAAAGAACCAGTTTTTCATTAGTAGAGTGTCTTATGTATTACAGGGACCTGTTAACATATCTGGAACTTAAGCAACATTCACACCAGAGCAACTGGTGGATTTGGTTTGATAAATTATCTGGAACTTAAGCAACATTCACACCAGAGTAACTGGTGGATTTGGTTTGATAAATTATCTGGAACTTAAGCAACATTCACACCAGAGTAACTGGCGGATTTGGTTTGATAAATTATCTGGAATTAAGTAACATTCACACCAGAGTAACTGGTAGATTTGGTTTTAGTTACTCTGGTGTGAATGTTGCTTAAGTTCCAGATAATTTATCATATCACGCTGTTTGGGGAAATTTCAGACTCTCGTGTGGTGAGAGATCCACAAACGCTCGAGTCAAAAGGTTACGGGTTTGTGTCATTCATGATGAAAACGGATGCAGACAATACAATGAAAGGACAGTGTGTGTGGGAACAAGAGCTATTAGAACAAACTGGGCTACGAAAACCTGCCAGTGTGAGAAACAGTAAACCTTTGATGAAGTTTGCAACCTGTCCAGCCCAAATAGCTGTACAGTCTCCTGTGGTGCTAACAACCAATAACTTATTGATTTATTTCTGCATAGTTTAGTTTAACACATATTATACTTTTAATGCTAACAGCCATAACTGTAGTTGAAGAAGAATCAATATTTCATTCTCCAATCTTAGAACTTGTTAAGTGATTTGTTTGTGAAATGTAGACTAAGTTACTGACCGATTGGATACAAATGGACGTATTGTATTTTCAAATAAGCCACGTAGAAACTAATAATATTATTAACGATTGTTGATGTTGTGTAGCAAGTCTCCATTTTCAGTTTTATATTTAAAATACTTCTTTTAAAAAATCACTTGTTTTGCAAGAACTAATAAAAAATATTCGAAGAAACTACTTTTCCTATATATACAGTTAGTTTGATAACCAAATCTGCCAGTTACTCTGGTGTGAATGTTGCTTAATTCCAGATAATTTATCAAACCTAATCTACTTAGGTGGCGTGATACTAGTCACGTGATCTCGCTGACGCAACAATACGTTCGTTTCTTACCTTTTGATTGCTTTTGAGTCAGAATAATATCTGTTTAAACAAAAATAATTTCAGATTGCTGGTGTTTGGTACTTTCTCACCCTTTTACGTTAAATTTATAAAATACATGGTTCACAAATGTATTTTTATTACACGTGTGTCGAAAGCTAATTATTTTTCTAGAAATATCCAGTTCCTTCGTGAATGCCCTAGCATTTACTAGATATATGTTAGTCTGGTATATATATATAGGACGCTCACAACGTGACGGGATAATGTGTGTAGGTAGTGAGTAATTGAACTGCAGTCAGAAAGTATTGTTGAAGTTCGTTGTTATAGAGCGACTGTTGAAAATAAGTGTATCGGTAAAGTTATATTCAGAAAGAATAAACCAGTTTTATTAAGAAAGGACTTGTGTCGCTAAAGTTTCGTGGGAACGAAGTTACGGAAAATCAACTAACGAATGGAGACGTAACAATATTTTAAGATGCGTAAACAAACAAACAAAAATAACGAGTCTTCACTGGAAAGCTTACCATCTATGCTATAACCTAAACGTTGCATTCCCAACCAACGTGTAAAGGATAAAGTGAGATTCTGGTAGGGTTGTCGACACAAAGCTTTACCGAAATGTACTTAACAGAATAAAATATGTATGCAATTGTATTGAACAACATAATACAGTTGTAAAATTTGATGAAGACGAACCCACATATAGGAAATAAAATTTGGAGACAATATTTGGTACCCGATTATGACATAGTCTTATCGAAACGTACAATTATGACATAGTCTTATCGATACCTTGTACGTTTGTTGGTCGTAACAAAGTTTCTTTCATTACCCATTCAAGCCTTCTCCAGACTTTATTAACATAATGAAATAAAAATTCTAGAGCCATTCTTAAAGTTATGTTGCATCAATGCATAGATGCATGTGCTAAATAAGTTCATTAAAACTAAACCCCGCAATAAAACATAACATTTGCACAATTACCTTTAAAGGTTGCTAGACTGCAGACAGAAATGACCTTCATGGACGCCAAGGTTAAACATGAAATTTGTACAATTAAAACAAAAAACAGAAATTAAATATCAAAATATCCTACTTGTAACACGAACACGGTTACAGATTACATACAAAGTGAGCAGTTAAATGTTTGCATGATTAATTTTGAAACACGAAACTGTCAGCGAGTCGTATCTGTTCACGATGATCGCTAACGTCGCTTAACGCCGTAAGTAACAATACCTCTTCTAGTTGTGGCAATTAAAATCAGAAAAAACAATAACAATAAAGGCGGCTCTATCTTCTCAACTCTGGTCAATAAATTTATAAAGTCAAGGCCAATAATAATCCGGGTATAACTTAGGCTGTTAAAAGCTAGAGAGGTAACACATTTAAGGTGTGGTAGATAACAACAGAAACTTAACATAATGTAATAAACAGGTAAGATTTATAAGAATTCTGTGAGTCTGAACACATTCATAAAATTGCCGAGTTTTCAAGCTACGTATTGACGTCAATTTCTAAAAACTGGTTCATGACTATTTCTTTCAATTTCTACATGAATTCCGAAACATATTTATTTAAAACAAAAACAAAAAACTGGAGAAAAAAATTTTGATATGAAACTTCAAAACTGCGGTAACTTAGGATAAACAACTTCAAAAACAGCGAAGACATAGTAGCGAGGATTTAATGGTATTACGCCATCTGGTGGTGACATAGGCTAGTTTGATGCATTTATACCAGAAAGCTTCGGCTTTTAGGTTATTCAGGCCCATGAAATAATTAGATGTTAAACTTGAGTTCACAAATCGCTGTACTAACCAAATGGTTAGTATAGTATAGGTTACTGAGGAACAAAAAAATAATTAAGTGTCAAAACTGAGTTCACAAATCGCTGTACTAACCAAATGGTTAGTATAGTATAGGTTACTGAGGAACAAAAAAATAATTAAGTGTCAAAACTGAGTTCAGAAATCACTGTACTAACCAAATGGTTAGTATAGTATAGGTTACTGAGGAACAAAAAAATAATTAAGTGTCAAAACTGAGTTCAGAAATCACTGTACTAACCAAATGGTTAGTATAGTATAGGTTACTGAGGAACAAAAAAATAATCAAGTGTCAAAACTGAGTTCAGAAATCACTGTACTAACCAAATGGTTAAATTGTTTTATAGGTTATTGAGGAACAAAAAATAATCAAGTGTCAAACTGAGTTCAGAAATCACTGTACTAACCAAATGGTTAAATTGTTTTATAGGTTATTGAGGAACAAAAAATAATCAAGTGTCAAACTGAGTTCAGAAATCACTGTACTAACCAAACGGTTAAATAGTTTGTAGGTTATTCAGGAAGAAGAAATAATTAAATGTTAAACTTGAGTTCACAAATCACTGTTCTAACCAAATGGTTAAATACTATACAGTGTCACTGAAAAATAGCACGCGTGGTCAGTGATGACGGTCAAGAGTTGTTGGATATAACTTTTAACCCATCGAACTGCTACTTAGAGGATTGTCTGATTAATTTTAGAGCAACGTTTCGCACTATCAAAATACTGTTGTGACCTTTGACCGTCTCAGTGTTGTTTTTGTACCATTTCTGCTTTGTTTTCTCTTATTATATTTTATCAATTATTATAGTCATTAATATTAACTTCCAATTTGAGCACGCTACTACATATGGATAAAAACTTTTAAAAAGTCCAGTAATTAGCATAGCTAACCCAATATTGTGATCTTACGTTCTTACATATAAATATTAGAATCTATTGTTTCACTACTTTTGCACGTTTGTTATTGGTGGCATTTTCGGCCATAAACCCAAGCATATCTCATGTGAGTTTTGATGATATTTTTATATCCGATTATTAAGCGTGTCGTCTTCTGGTATTTTTATTATGTTAAAATCAAGTAGGTCCAGGTTTTTTTCATTTTTTAATATATTACAAGATGGATATTTCTAACAAATTTCTTTTTATCTCTGTAAAATATTAAAGAAAAACTTGATGCCTGTTTATGGCTGGAATTAAGAACTTGGCTGCAAGAGAGTCCTCAGCACCTAGGATTTGTTTAGAGGAAACTAAAAAAAATAATAATAAATATTTTGTTCTGACAGGATAATTATATGAACTTTACACTTCCGATAAAAACACTCAGTATCCACATAATTCTTGTCAGAAACACCTACAAATGAAGCCAATGCAACTTTTGGAACACAGAGGACTTACATTTGAAACACCTGCGTAATAAGGATTCTACTGCAATCAAGATTTGTGGGAGTTTTCTTGTAATATTCTAAGTAAAAATATTATCAAAAAATCTCCTCTGTAGTGCAAAATATGATCTATACAGGGCCCAAGAATACCAAATTAAGAACACCTTTCAAATGTAAACGTAATGTTGTGTCTCTTTCCTCATCATAATCCCGATGTTATACAAGTGCAAATATCCATGGAAGTTGTCTTAATGTTTCCAATCACATTCCTACTGCGTTCAGCTGAATAGACATTTCAAGTAACCAGTTAAAGTTTTGATAAACATATATACTCGAATGTTTATTTAATAATGATAAGAACAAATAAATTGCAATCTACATATATTTTAATATTTATATGATAATGCAACGAGTTATGAAACTACAATCTATATATTGTCATGTTTATATGATTATAAAATGAGCTATGAAAAGTGTAGTAAATATGTTTCAATGTTTACATCATCTTAACATGATATATCCTTAGTTATTTTGGGTTTTGCCCGAAAATCTCAAGTACGATGTTTAATCACTTCTCTAACATGGTTGAGATTTTACGTGGTTACTTTAGCTATTGAAGCAAGTGCTCAGATGCATTTACTTGTATTTAAGGAAAAAAATAATTCACCAGATATTTCGATCACTCATGCTCAGAGGCGATGTAATTAACGGCTGAGAAAATGAATAAAACCACAATTTCATTTCCACTTTCTTCAGGAAAACCTCCTCCGGCTTTAACGTGGTGGAACAGAGATAACCTGCTCAAGGCCAACTTCACTCTCACGCCACAAGGTTTCCCAAGGAACGAGCTCGTGCTTCATCAACTCCGCCGTGATGACCTCCTTATTTCTCTTACATGCAAAGCTACTAACACCAACCTCACAGCTCCGATATCTAGCTCGGTTACCGTAGACTTGTATTGTGAGATTTAATTCCATGCAAAAACAAACATATATACTGCACATAGTACCTTACTTGTATATATCCTTTCTATTAAGCCTTTAATCACATTGTCTTGATTTTAATACCAGTGTTTTTCAGTAACATTCATCATGATAATAGTCATTATAAATGTCGTGTTACAAGAATTTATGAAACCAGTAATAATAACAGTAACAGGTATAACACAAATGTCAATTGTTTGAATATTATCCTTAAGGTAAAATAATGTGCAACGAAACGTAAAGGGCATTTTAATAACACTGCATTCTAATGAACATGATTAATTCATACGTAATAAACAATAGTTTATGATGCTTAAGACATTATTAAATAATGAATGTTTTCGGTAAAATACGAACAACAAAATTAAATCCAGTTAGAGGAAGTTAATACTACAAAGAAATTATTAAAAGGAGGAAGCAGAAGTTGGTCGGTCAACAATTCGGTTTATTGACCGAAAGGTTGAGCACGTTAATTAATCATGTTCATTAGAATGCAGTATTAATAAAATGCCCTTTACGTTTCGTTGCACAATACGGACTTTTCAATCTTGAATTTTCAAATTGTTACCTACAACTTATATATTATATATTATATTCTCGATGACTCAAACTGAACTAGATGAAATATAATTCTAAACTAGTAATATATTTCTGAGTTCTCTATTGTAAATAAGTTATTACAGAAAATAATAATCATAATATAAGCTAATGTATTGAAGCTAATGTAGTTTGATTAGTACTCAGAAGAGTTTTACTCAAACCAACTTATCATAATTTTCGTCCTTGCCTAGTGAAGCCTCTAGACGTGAGAATCACCTCAATCAGCAAACCGCTAACAGCAAACCTACAAACGGAGCAGGTTTGTGAAACCTGGGGAGCTCGACCCGCACCTCAAGTAACCTGGTGGAAAGGAACTGAGCGCCTTCTTGCTGTGACCGATGCTGTTTCTCCGGACGGAAATCATACAGTTAGCCAGGTTTCCTTCATCCCTGGCGTTGAAGATGATGGCAAAAACCTGACCTGTAGAGCGGACAATTTACTCATACCAGAAAGTGCCATTACAGATGTCCGGGATCTCCTGGTCTACTGTAAGAATGGAAAAACTAATTTCTGTAGATAATCCAGGAGTAAAAAATACTTTATACTCTACCATTCACACACAGTCACTCTACCATTCACATATGATTTACACCATTACACACAGTCACTCTACCATTCACACGTGACTTACACCATTTACACACAGTCACTCTATCATTCACATGTGAGTTACACCATTACACACAGTCACTCTATCATCCACACATGATTTACACCATTTACACACAGTCACTCTACCATTCACACATGATTTACACCATTTACACACAGTCACTCTATCATTCACATACGATTTACACCATTACACACAGACACTCTACCATTCACATATGATTTACACCATTACACACAGTCACTCTACCATTCACATATGATTTACACCATTATACACAGTCACTCTACCATTCACATATGATTTACACCATTACACACAGTCACTCTACCATTCACATATGATTTACACCATTATACACAGTCACTCTACCATTCACATATGATTTACACCATTACACACAGTCACTCTACCATTCACACGTGATTTACACCATTTACACACAGTCACTCTACCATATACATGTGATTTACACCATTACACACAGTCACTCTACCATTCTCATGTGACTTATACCAATATACACACAATCACTTTACCATACACATGTGAGTTACACCATTACACACAGTCACTCTACCATCACATATGATTTACACCATTACACACAGTCACTCTACCATTCTCATGTGACTTATACCAATATACACACAATCACTCTACCATACACATGTGAGTTACACCATTACACACAGTCACTCTACCATACACATGTGATTTACACCATTACACACAGTCACTCTACCATACACATGTGAGTTACACAATTACACACAGTCACTCTATTATTCACATGTGATTTACACCATTACACACAGTCACTCTATCATTCACATGTGATTTACACCATTACACATAGTAACTCTATCATTCACATGTGATTTACACCATTACACACAGCCACTCTACCATTCACATGTGATTTACACCATTACACACAGCCACTCTATCATTCACATGTGATTTACACCATTACACACAGCCACTCTACCATTCACATGTGATTTACACTTGGTGTTATTTTCTTCGTGTTGGTGTAATTTACGTTACAAGTCATTGTAGTCAAAAACATAGATTGAAACAAAAATAAGAATACATTTTCATAATCACAAGTTTACTTATCAATATATATATATGTGTGTGTTTGTGTTTATGTCTTTCAATAAAAAGTACAAATCATGACACCAATGTTCCATGTGCACAATAAATTTATTTGTATAAGGTTAAAAGGAAACACACGCTCTACATGTTTCGGTGGACAACAAGATCCAGTTGTTGCCTCTGTAAAATGTGATAATTGTACAGGAACATTTACTCCAGTACATAGACGAACCTCGTGTGTCCTTCTTGGTCTCCTGAAGATGGTGGAGGTCCACCGAAACATGTATAACATTTGTTTCTTTTAACCTTATACAAATAAATGTATTGTACATATAAAAATTTGATGTTATGATTTTAATTTTATTTAAAATATGTACATGTGCTGTTAGTATAATGTATTCTATATCTTCTTTCTTACGGTTGTAATGTTTTAACGAAACACCATGCTGTCTTTGCTGCAGATACTCCCCAAGTGACAATGACGCTTCTATCACCACTTAATGAAGATGGTTTTGTGGAAGGAAGTGAAGTTGAAATCGATTGTTCTGTGGAGGCCAATCCTACTGAAGTTGATGTACAGTGGCTTTTTAGTGGCTTCCCGATATCTTCTGATCTGAAACGTGGCATCATTGTGAGTAATTACTCTCTTGTTATAAAAGACGTCCAGCATTACCACAAGGGCCAGTACCAATGTGTTGCCACAAATCAAGAAGGGGAAGGCTGGAGTGAAGAGAAGATGCTTCTCGTTCAATGTACGTCTCTTACATTCATTAATGTTCTTATCTTGACATTTTAGGGTTAGCTTCATGTACTTTAATGTAAGACTTTAGTTTACAATACGGGTTTTCCTCAGAAAGTCTGACATCTAGTAATATTATGTTACATACCATGATAGCTTTGTTCTTCAACTGTTGATGAAAAAAAAACGCCTTGAGAAGAGTCGGTTCGGCATAACAATAAATATCCGTAGAGTTTTGCGGTTTTAGAAGTCATTTAATATAAAGTAAATACACGTATCAATAACAATATATTTTACATCTTAACAAAAATGTATTTGGACACATATTTATGCGAATGCACGGAATGTCATTTGCTTTTCCTAAGTTAGAAACATCAGGGAAACCAGATTTTTAAAAATCTAATGCGCAGTTAGTTGGTAATGAATTGGTTATTTTAAGAAATTCTTAGATTGAATATATTTGTTTGGTAGAAAAAAAAACAATTCTGTGAATCTTGTTGTGTTTAATGTTTGTTTAGTGGATGAAGTTGTTTATTTCAGGATAAATAGGATCCATCAGATAAGTTCAAGATCAGGTAGAACTATACAAGCTAAATACACAGTTGTTCAGTAGTTAAAAGTGTAAAAACAAATACAGTTATTAGTAGAACTATACAAGCTAAATACCTAGTTGTTCAGTAGTTAAAAGCGTAAAAACAAATACAATTATTAGTAGAACTATACAAGCTAAATACCTAGTTGTTCAGTAGTTAAAAGTGTAAAAACAAATACAATTATTAGTAGAACTATACAAGCTAAATACCCAGTTGTTCAGTAGTTAAAAGTGTAAAAACAAATACAATTATTAGTAGAACTATACAAGCTAAATATCTAGTTGTTCAGTAAGTTAAAAGTAGTAAAAACAAATACAATTATTAGTAGAACTATACAAGCTAAATACCCAGTTGTTCAGTAGTTAAAAGCGTAAAAAAAATGATTGTTTCTTGATATTTACAATCTTCAGATACTGAGAAAGTAAACTAAAATTACTCTTATCAGTACTATTTTTAACGAGTGAACTCCGGTAATTAGGTACGGTGTTAATGAAACTGTTATTTTTAATAAGGAAAAGCTTCTCTGATAATTTGATATCACACCTAAGTATATCCTGCTTTAAATGATCATATTTCAGATCCCCCAGTGTGTAAAGATCCTAAAGTACACATTATTCCGGTTGCACATGGCTCAGAAGTTAATATTTTATGTGAAGTGGATGCAGAGCCTGAGGCCCATGAATTCCATTGGATTCTTAACAACACCTTGGGTATTGAGTCCGTCAAGACCGCTGCGACAAATCAAACGACTGGTGTTATATCTTTCTCGCCTCTGGATCCTACTGATTTTGGGACCCTCTCTTGCTGGGCTAAAAATGTCGTAGGACAACAGAAAATCCCGTGCAAATATAGAATCTTTCCTGGAGGTACAAATGACACCTGAGTAGTTTCAATTTTACACAGAGTTGAAAAACGATAGAGATGATTTGTTTAACGTTCTAATGACTTAAAACTTTGTTAAACTTTCTTCATTTTTCAAACTGATCCATTCCCATTTGACGATTAAAAAAAAAGATCCGTCATATTAACTTTATGATATTAGTTCCTTCTAAAAACGTACTTAATCATTTTTATAGGTTATTTCGCGCTTTTTGAACGTTCATCAAAAGTTTAAACCATTAAAGTTGCTAACTTAATGATGAAATTGCATGTCATTATCACGTATTTTTTTTTGTTTAATTAAAGTTTCCTGCTAAGTCAAACACGAAATGAAAGCTTGGTAGGATATATATGTTTAAAGTTCCACGAACGTATTAAAGTCCATGTATTCTCGAGTCCCTGTCATAGCATACGATGCTTTATTTTGAAAATTTTATTACGTTTTCAATATTATCCTACATGGAACACTGACTTTATCGTGGAATGTTTCTATCCTATTTTGTATCCATTAAGTTAAACGGTAACTCCCAAAAAACCATATTTACTTGTACAGCTACATAATAAACTAATCACTCATCTAACCATTACATCAATCAGTAATTAGATGTAACCATTATAACAACAAGTGATTCAAAGTAACTATTACAACAATCACTTATTCTATGCAACCATTATAACAATCAGGGATTCAAAGTAAGTATTACAACAATCACTTATTCTATGTAACCATTATAACAACCAGTGATTCAATGTAACCATACAACAATCACTTATTCTATGTAACCATTATAACACTAACTTATTCTATGTAACCATACAACAATCACTTATTCTATGTAACCATTATAACACTAACTTATTCTATGTAACCATCATAGCAATCACTTATTCTATGTAACCATTATAACAACAAGTGATTCAATGTAACCATACAACAATCACTTATTCTATGTAACCATTATAACACTAACTTATTCTATGTAACCATACAACAATCACTTATTCTATGTAACCATTATAACACTAACTTATTCTAAAAAGAACAATGAATTATTCTATATAACTATTAACAATCCAGTTATTCTGTGAAACCATTACAATAACCTTTTATTCTGTTACCTTTTTTAGCACTGAATTAAACACTTTTCAAATTATTATCAGTAAGGTCAAGATATTTAACTTTCTTATATCATGTTACAAAGTCAGAAAATTATCAGGATATTAACATCGTTTAGAATAGAAATATACACATACTGGACAATACTGTGAAATAAAATACGCAGACAGAATATATGTATGTGTAGGTTAATTTTCATTTATCAATTTATAAAGGTGAGTTTCAAAAACAGTTGTGAAATTTGTTTTTGCCTATTTTAAACTCAAAAAATATCTTATACATTTCAATCATACTTGTTTATCTCCTTATAGAACAGAAACGTTTGTTTTGGATATTCGTGCCAGTTTGCACAATGAATATCTTAGCTAATTATCTCTAATCATGAACTGATAGGCTAGAAGAAAGGCAGCTAAACAAAACCGTCCAGCGCCAAATATTAGACTACCCTAATCATATAGTGGGATTTAACTGTCATTCTTATAACACACACACGGCCCCAAGTGAGGAACGTAATTTTGTGGCAAGGGACGGAAACTATAGACCCTCAGATTCACAGACACCAAACCACAGGTGCATTTCTTGCTCATTATAAAAAGAACAAAGATTAAAAATGATCAAAAACAATGACGTTGACAATCACCAAGGTAACCATTAAATGACACAACTTGACAAGTAAGCAACGTGAAGAATATTGAAACGATTTTTAAATATAACGGTTTTTATCTATATTTTACTTTTAATAAAGCCACGTAGTCTCAAACTAAGGAAATTGCTAAGAAATACACGAGATCCGTTTCACGGCGGTTGTATTGAGAACATATGAATGTATCATTCAAATATTTTTAAGTACGTTTATTAGGTATTTCCAAAATTGGCTCTATTAAAGTTGTATTGGGTTTATTTTTCATCAATATGTAAATCACTACTTTGATAGATAAAAGTGTCTTAAATATGCAAAGGAAATGAAGACAAATTAATGACACACACTTTGAAGTTCATATCCTTTCTTTCTGAAGGTCTTCCGGAAGCTCCTAATGACTGTAAAGTCATTAACAAAACAAAAGGATCTTTAAGTGTAGGCTGCTCACCAGGGTTTGATGGAGGGTTATCACAGCAGTTCCAGGTCGAAGTGTACACCGACACAAAAGAACGTCTTATAACCAACATTTCTACATCTGACGCTCCTTTCTTCTTCATTTCTTCATTGCCTGCCGAGACTCAATTTATACTTGTCATATACGCTATCAATAGTCTGGGAAGGAGCTCGTCAGTCTCCCTCCAAGCCAGTACACTAACTGGTCAGACTAAGCCACTAAACAAAGGCAAGCTTTGTTTCTTACAGCTTAAATTCATTTGTAAAACATTTTAATTAATAAATCGTGTTATTCTGAGAATTCATTGTTAGTACTTACTGATAATTACTGTTATATAGCAAAATGATACGATAAAATACCAGATAATCGTATTAACAGATTATCATAATACCAGATCATCGTATTACCAGATCATCGTATTACCAGATCATCATAATACCAGAATGATGGTCTGTTAATACGATGATCTGATATTATGATAATCTGTTAATACGATGATCTGTTATTATGATAATCTGTTAATACGATGATCTGGTATTATGATGGTCTGTTAATACGATGATCTGATATTATGATAATCTGTTAATACGATAATCTGGTATTATGATAATATGTTAATACGATGATCTGGTATTATGATAATATGTTAATACGATGATCTGGTATTATGATAATATGTTAATACGATGATCTGGTATTATGATAATCTGTTAATACGATGATCTGGTATTATGATAATCTGTTAATACGATAATCTGGTATTATGATAATCTGTTAATACGATAATCTGGTATTATGATAATCTGTTAATACGATGATCTGTTATTATTAGTGTAATTTTACCTAGTCTTCTCAAGTTACGTATTCGGAATATAAAATATTATTTTGAAATCTGGCGATTAATTAATAACGATTATTAATGGAATTAAAAAGGAAAAATTTTAATAATGATTTGGTTTTATTACACAAACACAATTAATTAATGATAGGTCATTTTTCTTTCCAACAAACGTACTTTACACAACATAAAACTGAGTTGAAATTTTTTTGTTAGAATGCTTTGAATATAAGTAATTAGTAGTTATAACAGTTTAATAGTATAACCAGATGTATCAGTTTTTGTCTAATTACAAAAACACGTGTGTTAACATTGTAATAGTGAATACAAGTAGTTATGTTTGAGCTAATCTATTGTAGCTTGGAAAGTTTCGAATGTCATGTTAACTCAAACGTAAGTGCTAAGGTACATAAACATAAGTGCTAAGGCACATAAATATAAGTGCTAAGGTACATAAACATAAGTGCTAAGGTACATAAACATAAGTGCTAAGGTACATAAACATAAGTGTTGAGATACATAAACATAAGTGCTGAGATATATAAACATAAGTGCTGAGATACATAAACGTAAGTGCTGAGGTACATAAACATAGGTTCTAAGGGACATAAACATAAGTGCTGAGGTACATAAACATAAGTGCTAAGGTACTTAAACATAAGTGCTAAGGTACTTAAACATAGATGCTAAGATACTTAACATAAGTGCTAAGGTACTTAAACATAAGTGCTAAGGTACATAAACATAGGTTCTAAGGTACATAAACATAAGTGTTAAGGTACTTAACATAAGTGCTAAGGTATTTAAACATAAGTGCTAAGGTACATAAACATAGGTTCTAAGGTACATAAACATAAGTGTTAAGGTACTTAACATAAGTGCTAAGGTATTTAAACATAAGTGCTAAGGTACATAAACATAGGTTCTAAGGTACATAAACATAAGTGTTAAGGTACTT